TATGATATTTCGACTGTGTCTATGTGAGTCACTTTAGGATCAAGCACTAAGCGTAAATGTATGATTCCGAAACTCATTTGTGAGTTGTCCAGCACACCAAATAAGGAAAAACGTGTCTCTTCATGACCACAAAGTATTGCCATTATCAGAGCCTTAACTGACTGAACGCGTAGGTCAAATTGCCCGTATTCATCACGTCATACGATAGTGCCTTTTCTTCGCGAACACTTGCGTTACCTGTCTACTGTGATGCTCAGCACACAAAAAGCTTTCCAAACTAAAGATGAAGCATATTCGAATTGGAAAAGGCTTGTCGTGACTGCATGACTTCGCTGAATAACTGGGGCAGAACGGGCCGAAATGTCGGTATTAGTCTATCACTCAATAAACACTGGTTTTGCGCTGTTTACAGTGTCAGTACAAACTCATAGCAGGACTATGCGACACTACGACAAAAGATTCCATTTAAACGCCCGTGCTGAATACAAATTTGACGTGGGTAAACAAATTTTTACTCTGACGAAAGTTTAACTATATTTTGATTGTTGTTTTCACCGTCAACGGAGGAAAAATAATTTTGTCGTGGCAGTGAGCGTTGCACAACATAAATTTGAGATTATTTCAAATTCACTGATATCATTATTAGGGCTTCCTGGTTGTTCAAGCACTTCTAGCTTTGGAAGACGATGATAAAAGAGCCATCAATGCTTAAATGACAGAATTGTTTAGATTGGTGATATCGCCGAGTTTGAAAGGCAAGTGTCAAATTTTCTTCTCTTTTTGTGTTGCCTTCATTTTCATCTGCTACCACCAAATGGTTTCAATAAGAAAAAATAAGAAAAGATGAGAACATAGATCTTGTTTGTATTCTCGTGATGGTACCATCTTTTGATCAAGTTAATGATGAGTGTCTTGATCTCCGTTTCAATGCCATCAGCCAGGAGAGCCTTATTTTAAAAGCAGAGCCAATAGCCATGCGAAGCGTAGCGTATAGTCCTACCGTCTCCTGCCCGTAGAGTAGTATTAATTTATCAACCTCAGAAGGAAAACGGCAAGTAGTCCGAACGGGATTAAAACCAGGGAACTCTCGGTTGCGAGTCTGACGCGCTTTCCATTGAGCAACCTCGAACAAGAGATAAAAGTGTTGAGATTCCGTTCACTCATTCAGCGGTTTGTCAAACCACCATGCCAGAAGTATATTTAAAATGTCAAATAGTGAGCCGTATCTGACTTACATAAGTCTGAATTTCGTCAACAAACTTCCTGATGTCATCGTTTTCATTATACTTTACCACCAAGTTATCCTTCCAACCCCGCAGTATATCGTC